AATATTGTTGTCTCTCAGGGACTAGGAAGGTCCAGAGAGAGGGAAAGAGGGAGGGGAGAGGGAGGGAGGGGAGAGGAAGGAAGGGAGGGAGAGAGGGAGGGGAGATGAAGGGAGGAGGAGAGAGAGGGAGGGGAGAGGGAGGGAGGAGGAGAGAGAGGGAGGGGAGAGGGAGGGAGAGAGAGAGGGGAGAGGAAATGAGAGGGGGAGGGAGAAAGGGGAGAGGAAATGAGAGGGAGAGGGAGGGAGGGAGAAAGGGAGAGGGAGGGGAGAGAGGAAGGGAAGAGGAGAAGGAGGAAGAGAGGAAGGGAGAGAGAAGGGGAGAGAGGAAGAGAGGAAGGGAGAGAGGGAGGGGAGGAGGGAGAGAGGGAGAGGGAAGGGAGAGGGAGGGAGAGAGGAAGGAAGAGAGGAAGGGTAAAGAAGGAGAGAGGAAGGGGACAGGGAGGAGAGGAGCAGACAGGGAGGGAGGGGGGAGGGAGAGAGGGAGGGGAGAAAGAGTTGAAAAGCTGCCTATTGTGTACTTTGCTCACTTCCTGGGTGTTGGGATCAGTTGTATCCCAGACTCCAGCATCACGCAGAATACCCTTGTAATAAACCTGCACACTTACCCCTGAATCTAAAATAAAAATTCATTTAAAAAAAGCACACTAAAGAAAATTTAACCTACAGTCACATAGTCAACACAACCCAACTCTTAGCCAGATAAACATAAAGCCTCAAACAAAAGGCCTATTTACTGCAGTTTCTTTTACCTAATACGTCGTATCTGATTTCAACAAAAACTTAGAAAACATGCTAAAACGTCAAAATCAAAGTTGCATGAGGCCTAGGAAGAATCAGAACCATTGCCAGACTCACATATAGCAGCAATTTTGGAATTATGACTGGAAATTTAAAATAATTATGATCAGTATGCTAAAGGCTCTAATGGAAAAAGTGAACAACATGCGAGAAAGATGGGTAATGTAAGTAGACAATAGAAACTCTAAGAAAGAACCCAAACGAAATACTAGAAATAAGCAGTACTATAACAGAAATGAAGAATGCCTTGGGACTTATTGGGAGACTGGAAAAGACAATAGATAACCCAGGAAAGAATCAATGAGCTTGCAGATGTCAGCAGAAAGTTCTAAAACTAAAACGCAAAGAATAAAAAGAATGAAAATGACAAACATGGCAGGGCTTAGTGGCTCACACTATATCTCAGCATTTCACAAGGCCCAGGTGGGAAGATCACTTGAAACCAAGAGTTGAGGACCAGCCTGGGCAACAAAGAGATCTGTTGACTCCACAAAAAAGGAAAAGAAAAAGACAGAATAGAATATCCAAAACTGTGGGACAGTTACAAAATTATATATATTTAAGTACTTGCTTTGGCTGCACATACACTAAAACTGGAATAGTACAGAGAAGATTGCACAACATGGCCCCTGCGCAAAGATGATACATAAGTTCATGAAGCATAAGAAACATCTTCTTTAAAAAAATATGTAATACACATACATTTATATATAACTGTATACACACAATGGGAATAACAGAGGAAAAAGGGAAAGAAATAGAATAAACATTTGAAGTAATAATGGCTGAGAATTTTCAAAACTAAAGACAGACACCAAACCACAAATCCAGAAAGTTAAGAAAACAAGCAAAATAAATATCAAAGGCCAGGTTTGGTGGCTCACATCTGTTAATCCCGGCACTTTGGGAGGCCGAAGTGGGTAAATCGCTTGAGGTGAGGAGTTCAAGGCCAGCCTGGCCAACATGGTGAAACCCCATCTCTACTAAAAATATGAAAATTAGCCAGGCCTGGTGGCAGGTATCTGTAATCCCAGCTACTCAGGAGCCTGAGGCAGGAGAATCAGTTGAAAGTGGGAAGTGGAGCTTGCAGTGAGCTGAGATCATGCCACTGCACTCCAGCCTGGGTGACAGAGTAAGACTCCATCTCACATACATGCATACGTACGTACATGCCAAAAAATCTGTACCTAGGCATATCATATTCAAATTGTAGAAAATCAAAGATAACATCCTGAAACCTAGAGGACAAAACACACCTTACCTATGGAGGAACAGTAATATTGAATTTCTCCACAGAAAACATTCAAGCAAGAAGAGAGAGGAGTGAAATATTTATGTGTTTATTATGCTTTTAATTTTTATTTTTGTGGTTACATGGTAGGTGTATATGTTTATAGGGTATATGAGATATTTTGATGCAGGTATACAATGTGTAATAATTACATCAGAATAAATGAAGTATCCATCACCTCAAGCATTTATCATTTGTATTACAAACCATCTAGTTATACTCTTTAGTTATTTTTAAATATATAGTAAATTACTGGTGACTGTAGTCACCCTGTTGTGCTATCAAATGCTAGATCTTATTTTTTCTACTGAATTATATTTTTGTATGCATTAACTGTCTCCTCCCTTCCCCCCACCTACCCACTACCCTTCCCAGCCTCTGGTAACCATTGTTCTACTCTCTCTTTCCATGAGTTCAACTATCTTAATTTTTAGCTCCTGCACAGAAGCAGAACATGCAGTTTGTCTTCCTGTGCCTGGCTTACCTAACTTAACTTAATGATCTCCAGCTCCATCCACCTTATTGTAAATGACAGGATCGTTATTATTATTTTTTGAGACAGTCTTGCCCTTTTGCCAGGCGCCAGGCTGGAGTGCAGTGGCACAATCTCATCTCACTACATCCTCCGCCTCCCAGGGTCAAGCAGTTCTCCTGCCTCAGACTCTCGAGTAGCTGGGACTACAGGCATGCGCCACCATGCCCAGCTAATTTTTGTATTTTAATAGAGACGGGGTTTCACCATGTTGGCCAGGATGGTCTCGATCTCTTGACCTCGTGATCCGCCCTCCTCGGCCTCCCAAAGTGCTGGGATTACAGGTGTGAGCCACTGCTTCTGGCCAGGATCATTATTTTTTATAGCTCAATAACTACTCTATTATATATATGTACCATATTTCCTTTATCCATTTATCTGTTAATGGACATGTAGATTGATTCCAAATCTTGGCTATTGTGAACAGTGCTGCAGCAAACATGAGAGTGCAGATATCTCCTTGATTTACTGATTTCACTTCTTTTGGGTATATTCCTAACAATGGATTTCTAGATCATATGGTAGTTGCATTTTTAGTTTTTTGAGGAACCTCCATGCTGTTCTCCATGGTGGTTGTATTAATTTACATTCCCACCAGCAGTGTATCAGGGTTCTCTTTTCTCCACATCCTCACTGGCATTCGTTATTGCCTGTCTTTTGGATAAAAGCCATTTTAACTGGCCTGAGATGATATCTCATTTTTGATTTGCATCTCTCTGATGATGAGTGATGTTGAGTGCCTTTTCATGTACCTACTTGCTGTTTGCATGCCTTCTTTGGAGTAATGTCTGTTCTGATCTTTTGCCCATATTTTAATTGTATTACTAGATTTTTTTCTTATTGAGTTGTTTGAACTCTGTATATATTCTGTTTATTAATTGCTTGTCAAATGGATAGTTTAAAAATATTTTATTCCATTCAGTGGATTGTCGCTTTACTTTGTTGATTGTATCCTTTGCTGTGTAGAAGTTTTTAAACTTGGTGTGATCTCATTTGTCCATTTTTTGCTTTGGGTGCCTGTCTTTGTGGGGTATTACTCAAGAAATCTTTGCTCAGTGCAATGTCCTGGAGAGTTTTTCCGGTGTTTTCTTTTAGTAGGTTCATAGTTTGACGTTTTAGATTTAAGCCTTTAATTCATTTTGATTTGATTTTTGTATATGGAAAAAAACAGAGGTCCAGTTATTATTTTTATTTTTTATTATTTTTTTTGGACAGGGTCTCACTCTGTCACCCAGGCTGGAGTGCAGTGGTGTGATCACAATTTATTTATTTATTTAATTTATTTTTTTTTCTCTGAAGTCCTTGTCCTTTATTGGGCAAGGAGTGAGGGAAGCAGACAGACCGGTTGGACATAGCAAATGGATGTGTGAGGACAAAATGCTACTGGAAAGCCAGCCAACCCACACTCCCCTGAAATGGATGCTAACATGCTTCAAACTCTGGGCACTGGTTTCACACACAGCCTCTTCGAGGGATGAAAGGGGTTCTTGTAAAGCTTTTTGTTTACCCTCAACCATGGAGGCAAGCTCTGAGTTCTGGTTTTCCTAGGACACTAACGCTAGTCACAAAGATCTCTGGAATGATCAAGGATGGAGGAGTGAGTGGCAGGGTGAGTTTCAAAAGGATAAGCAGAACAGTAGTCTTGCCTAAGCAGTGGGCAAGTTACAACAACAGTTCCTGTGTATGGCCTCCCACCCAACCAGAAATTGACAGAGAGGCATGTGTATGGTGAAAAGATATACATATATTTAGAATTAGCCAGCTGGACTCAGTTTAGATGATCCCAATTTTGTTGGCAACATCCAAAGCATCGTAATCAGAAGCCAGTCAAACATATGCCTCCTCTCCATCAGGCCGAATCAGGGTGTTGACCTTGGCCACATCAATGTCATAGAGCTTCTTCACAGCCTGTTTGATCTGGTGCTTGTTGGCTTTAACATCCACAATGAACACAAGTGTGTTGTTGTCTTCTGTCTTCTTCATGGCAGACTCAGTGGTCAGCGGAAACTTGATGATAGCATAGTGGTCCAGTTTGTTTCTCCTGGGGGCGCTCTTCCGAGGATATTTGGGCTGCCTCCGGAGTCGCAGTGTCTTGGGCCGCCGGAAGGTGGGTGACATGCGGATCTTCTTTTTTTTGTGGCTGTGGACACCTTTCAACACTGCCTTCTTGGCCTTTAAAGCCTTCACTTTGGCTTCGGCTTTAGGAGGGGCAGGAGCTTCCTTCTTCGCTTTCGGCGCCATCTTGTGAAAAGGGTCCTGTGATCACAATTTATTGCAACCTCCACCTCCCAGGTTCAAGCAGTTCTCATGCCTCAGCCTCCTGAGTTGCTGGGATTACAATGGTATGCCACCATGCCTGGCTAATTTTTGTATTTCGAGTAGAGATTGGGTTTCACTGTGTTGCCCAGGCTGGTCTCCAACTTCTGGCCTCAAGTGATCGACTAGCCTTGGCCTCCTAAAATGCTGGGATTATAGGTGTGAGCCACCATGCCCAGCAAGTATCTAGTTACATTCTACTGCATATGGATACTCAGTTTTTCCAGCACCATTTATTGAAGAGACTGTTCTTTCCCCAATGTATGTTCTTGGCACATTTGTTGGAAATGAGTTCACTGTAGATGTCTGGATATGTTTCTGGATTATTCTCTTTTATTGGTCTGTTTGTCTATTTTTATGCCAGTACCATGCTGTTTTGCTTACTATAACTCTGTAATAATATAATTTGAAGCCAGGTAATGTTATTCTTCCAGTTTTGTTCTTTTTGCTGAGGATAGCTTTGGTTATTCTGGGTCTTTCATGGTTTCAGATAAATTTTAGAATTTTTTTTTAATTTCTGAGAATTGTTTTATTTGTAGCTGTTATAAATGGGATTACTTTCCTGATTTCTTTTTCAGATTGTTCAGTGCTGGCATATAGAAATGCTACCAATTTTTGTATGTTGATTTTTCTCCTTCAACTGTATTAATCAGTTCTAGTAGATTTTGGTGGAGTCCTGGTTTTTCCAAATACAAGGTTATATCATTTATAAACAAGGATAATTTGACTTCTTCCTTTCTATTTTGGTTACCCTTTCTAGATTTCTATTGTCTCATTGCTCTAAGACGTACAGAGTGAAATATTTAAAGTATTGAATGAAAAACTCCACCAACTTAGGGTAACTCCATGTTTCTAGTTGGTAGTTGCTTTGGTAAAACACCTTGGAGTCATTCTTGATTCTCCTTGTCCCTCACATCCCACATCCTATCTGTTAGGATATCTATATGTAATTAGGAAAGAAAATGGTAATCCTCCACTTCTCACCATCTCTGCCTCTATCCCCTTGGTCCTAGCCGTCATTATCTCTTCCCTGGATTATAGCTATAGACTCCATACTACAGCCTAAACAGAGCAACTAGAGTGATTCTTTTAAAATGAAGTTCAATCTAGTACTACAGAAGTGTCCCATTTTAATACCAGTCTATGAATTACTTCATTTCTCTGTGCCTCAGTTGCTTCATCTGTAAAAAAAAGAGTAATACCTCCTCAAGAGATTGTGTGATTTGATGAGGAGGCACTTAATACCAACCTGATGCACAGAAAAAAGTAAAGTTTAGCTGTTATTATTTTTATTTCCAATTTGCCCTTCAAATCAGAAGCTTACTTTTGTCTTCTCATTCTTCAGTGCCTGAGGTGGGAGGGTTTGTAGAAACATTTGGATTCTGAATACCTACCTCATTGCCGTCAAGTAGAATCCTCCGTCTTTTAGTTCCTCAAAATATTATGTCCAGAAACTTTGTTAACCAAAGAAAATTTTGTTTCTAGCTCTGGTGTTTTAGGCACTGTAGTGGGTCAGTTTCCTACACTGCACAGAAATTCCTTTGTCATTGGAAAGTGTTAATTTTGTCAGTATTACAGTTCCTAACTTCTGAGGCATTGGTTTCCTAGAGGATACTGTGAGGAGGAAATCTCCACACAGCTGCCCACTGATTTTTTTGCTTGAGGCTTTATCTGATATACCCTAGCCCCTTTTGGTTTTTTATTACATTTGTAACATCGCATACCTAGATTTTTTTTTTTCTTTATATAGGCCTTACCTATCTGGAACTGTCAATACTTGGAAGGTACTTACAATGTTGAATGTTTCCACTCATATTTCCTGTTATGCTTTACTGATATTTTTAACAAGCCAAAAAGAGGAAGAAAGATTTCACCATAGATTTGCTAACCATAATATAAGATGCAAAGAACATGTTTTAATGAAAAGGCACTGGGCTGGGGCCTCTGAGCCTTGTTCTGCGACTGAACCTGTATGACTGCCGGGGCTTGAGTTAAACCTTCTGCCTAAATTCTAGCAGAAGAGGCTAGCTAAAAGAGGAGATTCAGTGTCTGAGAGAACGTGAAAAGAAAAGTCACCTGAGACCCCAACCCACTGACAACAGAAGAGGGACTGGGATAGACCGACCTGCACTGGTTCCATCCAGCAGCCAATGCACAGAGCAGAGTGGCCTGTGGGCCTGAGCAGTGATGTTCCCCGGGCCTGGAAAGCAGGGGGGTGGCTGGGGGCTGGGACTTGTTTCTTGAATAGAGGGAGAAGGGAAGACACCTGAGTATCTGGTTTAAAAATAAATAAATAAATAAATAAATAAATAAATAAATAAATAAAAGACATTCTAGTAGTTTTAGCCTCTCCACTGGGAGCACTGTCCCCTTGCCCCAGACAGTAGGCAGGTGAAGCAGATGGAAGTGAGTGCTCCCATGATACAGTGCTCCCGGGGCCCAGACACTTCCCACTCCAGCAAGCTGGAACTATCCAAGCTGTGGGGTCAGGGTAGAACAAATGATTCTTTTTTTTTAGATGGAGTTCGCTCTTGTTGCCCAGGCTGGAGTACAATGGTGTGATCTCAGCTCATAGCAACCTCCACCTCCCAGGTTCAAGTGGTTCTCCTGCCTCAACCTCCTAAGTACCTGGGATTACAGATGCCCACCACCACGCCTCGCTAATTTTTTCTATTTTTAGTAGAGATGGGATTTTGCCATGTTGGCCAGGCTGGTCTCGAACTCCTGACCTCAGGTGATTCGCCCACCTTGGCCTCCCTAAGTGCTGGTTTTACAGGCGTGAGCCACTGTGCCCAGCCAAACAAATGATTCTTATATGCAGATTCTTTAGGGAGCAGCTAGGCCAGCTCCCAGTGACTGCGGACCCTGTGAGGGTGTGAGGGAGATGATGGTAGCTTGGAGACATTCCTAGGGGCTGCTGTTTTGTTATCCTGTAAAAGGAACTAGGAGAACCTTGTTCTTAAACTATGTGAGTTCTGTGTTGGTTGCTTGAGAGCGATTGCCTAGGGCTTGCTTCCTCTCAGCCAAAGTGATTGGGATTTGGCAGTCAGGGTGCTTTTCTTTGTTTTTCAGGCACCCTGAGCCCTCTCCTAGCCAGCCCACATTTGTGACCACTTGGTAAACACAGAGCAGGAGGGAATGGCAGTGAATGGGGATTTCCCTCAGTCCTGCCCACAGGCTGCTCTTTAACTGACAGGTTTCTCCCTCATTCTAAACTCACCAGCAGCGTCAGGCATGGTGACTCACAACTGTAATCTCAACACTTTGGGAGGCCAAGGAGGGTGGATCACCTGAGATCAGGCGTTCAAGACCAGCCTGGCCAACGTGGTGAAACCCCGTCTCTACTAAAAATACAAACTAATTAGCTGGCCAATGGTGGCAGGCGCTTGTAATTCCAGCTACTCGGGAGACTGAGGCAGGAGAATCGCTTGAACCGGGGAGGCAGAGGTTGCAGTGAGCCAAGATCACACCATTTCACTTTAGCCTGGGCAACAAGAGTGACACTCTGTCAATAAATAAATAAATCCACTCTCAGTGGAGCAGTAAACCCATCCACGGTCAGGCGTAGCACATATCCTGAAATGGTGGGGACCAGACCTGTTTCCTTAAACTCACACCTGCTTTGTTTTTCCAGGTCTATAAGGGAGAATTCCAGCTACCTGACTTTCTTAAAGAAAAACCACAGGTACTGTGTCTGCTTCTTCCTTTTGATAATAGATTGGCTCTTGCATTGAAGTAATCTTTTTAAAGAGATAATAAAATTAAAAAGACAGAAACAAGAAAAAAAAAGAAGAAAAGGGATAATCATATGTGCTAGTGGAAGAAAGATTAGTCTCTGTGACTTGTTGATTTTAAAAATAATTTAACACAGTCTTAATTTCAGAGAGCTCAGTGTCTCCTAAAACTAGGGAAGTACTTTATTGATAACCAAATTCTGATTGCTTGAGGTCGTGCACAAGCCACCCAGTTGGTAAAGCTGCCCCAGCCTTCCAGTGCCTAATTCAAAATAAAAAGATCCGGTGACCCTCTCTGTTTTTACCGTGTGTGCTATACATCCATGACCCTTTGACTTTTCTCATTTGGAGCCTAGAAGACTTATAAATATATTTTGCATACAGCCACTGGCCCTTAGGAAGGATGGTGAGAGTTTGAAGGATTAAAGCCATCACGGTGGCTCATGCCTATAATCCCAGCACTTAGAAATGTCGAGGTGGGTGGATCACTTAAAGTCAGGAGTTCAAGACCAGCGTGGCACCATGGTGAAACCCCATCTCTACTAAAAATACAAAAATTAGCCAAGCATTGTGGCAGGAACCTGTAATCCCAGCTACTTAGGAGGCTGTGGCAGGAGAATTGCATGAACCAGGAGGCGGAGGTTACTAAGCCAAGATAATGCCACTGCACTTCGGCCTGGGTGACAGAACAAGACTCTGCCTCAAAAAAAGAAAAAATTAGCTAGGCATGGTGGTGCAGGCTGTTGGTCCCAGCTACCTGGGAGGCTGAGGCAGGAGGATCACTTGAGGCTGGGAGGTGGAGGTTGCCAAGTCTAGATTGTGCCACTGCACTCCAGCCTGGGTGACAGAGTGAGACCTTGTCTCAAAAATAAGAAAATTAAGCAGGTTCAGAGTTTTCCCTGGAACATCTGCTCTCACTGACTTGCATTCCAGTCCTGTTTCCTGGGTTGGAAAGAAACAGGGAGTCTCTCGGCTGACACGACTAGAGGAGCCCAGTGTGAAGTCTAGTTGCCTGAAACAAGCCTGGAGTAAATGGGCTGCCCTCTCTGAGGGAAGCCGTGTCTCACACCAGAGTTGAAGCCTCTTCCTTCCCCAATCCTTGTCTGAAAACAGCCACTAGTAATTGATACATATGACTTGAGTGTTTTAAAGTGCTTTCAAAGCATATTCTTACTCACAAATGTTTAATATTCATCCATCCATTCATTTCAGTTATTCACCAACTGTTTACTTAGTGCCTACTATGGTGAAGAATTGGAATAAGTCCTCAGTAATGGGGGTAAGAAAAACCTTCTCAAGGAGCTCCTGATATATCCAGAAGACTCTGACCAATTCATGCAGACAAGGGGGCACAGAGCTCTGGGCCCAGGCTGGGCATGGTGTCCCAGAAACCTGGGCAAATTCATGAACAGACTCACTCACAGGCTGTGGAAGCTGGAGCCAGAGAATATTCCAAGAGGATTGTCTTGAAGGAATATAAATCCAAAAGTGTTCGGGTGTGGTGGCTCATGCCTGTAATCCCAGCATTTTGGGAGGCTGAGGCGGGCAGATCACTAGGTCCGGAGTTTGAGACCAGCTTGGCCAACATAGTGAGACCCCGTCTCTGCGAAAAATACAAAAAAAAATTAGCTGGGCATGGTGGTGCACACCTGTAATCTCAGCTACTTGGAAGGCTGAGGCAGGAGAATCACTTGAACTCAGGAGGCGGAGGTTGCAGTGAGCCGAGATTGTGCCATTGCACTCCAGCCCGGGTGATGGTGTGAGACTACATCTAAAAAAAAAAAAAAACAAAAACAAAACCTCATTTGTAGATTATAGATCATTTATAGATCATTCCTATGAATCATAAGAAAAAGATTTTTTTTTTTTTTTTATTGGGCAAAAAGCCTGGGCAACGTAGCAAGACCTCATCTCTATCAAAAAATTAGCTGGGCAGGGCCAGGTGTGGTGGCTCACACATGTAATCCCAGCACTTTGGGAGGCTAAAGCGGGCGGATCACTTGAGGTCAGGAGTTCAAGACCAGCCTGGTAAATATAGCAGAACCTCATTTCTAAAAACAAATACCAAAAAAATGAGCCAAGCATGGTGGCACATGCCTGTAATCCCAGTTGCTCCTGAGGCTGATGCAGGAGAATTGCATTGCTTGAATTCAGGAGGCAGAGGTTGCTGTGAAGTGAGAGCATGCCATTGCACTGCAGCCTTGGCTACAAAACAAGATTCCATCTCAAAAGGAAAAAAATTAGCTGAGCGTGGTGACATACTTGGGAAGCTGAGGCAGGATGATCCGTTGAGCCCAGGCCGTGTACTGTGATTGTGCCACTGTACTCCAGCCTAGGTTACAGAGGGAAATCTTGTCTACTAAGAAAGCAAAAAATCATGCAGAAGTACGCATGCACACACATAGAAATTGACCTGTAAGATCTTCAGTTTAACCTCTAGTGTGAATGAGTTGACGCCTGTAGAACTTTCAGTTTCAATCATTAGCTAGAATGGTTCATAAAACTTGGGAAAGTGCAGTACTTAACAATTACAGTTTTATAACGGATACAGATCAGGAGCAGCCATAAGAGAGGAGTAGATCCGGTAGGGTTCCGAGTGCAGAGCTTCTGCCCCTGCTCCCTATGGAATCGACATGTCACCCTCCCAGCACACCCATATGTTCACCAACCGGGAAGTGCCACTGAACTTCCACACCCAGCATTTTTATTAGGGTTTATTCATGCAGGCAAGATTGATCAAATCAATGGTCATGTGTTAGAACTCAATCTCCAGCCAACCTCCCTTCCCCAGAGTTGAGGCGGGCTCCAAACCCCAGCCCCTTCATCCCATGGTTGGCCTTTGTGGTGATCAACCCCATCCTGAGTCATCTCATAACATAAACTTGGATGCGATCCAGTGGGCTTAGAGATAACAAAGACATTCTCGTTACCTAGGAAATTCCAAGGATTCAGTGTTTCCCTCCTAGAAACCAGGGGCAGAGGCCAGTCAGATTCTTGAGCATGCAGCGTTGGTGCACTGAATTCATCTGAAAGTGAACAGAGCCCGCACGTCACCCCTGGTGTTTCAGTGGGGCAGTCACTTCTCATGCTGACCAACTTCAAGAACATTCAAACTTATCTTCTTTCCTTCAACAGACTGAACAAGTGGAGTAGCAGAACCAGGAGCCTCTTCCGTACATGAGGTGAGGGTTGGGGGATATTGCTGGGTCCTTCTGTGGCCCACTCAAGCTCTTGCAGGGCGCCGGGTGGCTGAGGCAGAGAGCACAGCTCTGGAGTCCATCTGCCTGGGTTGGAATCCTGGCTCTTCACTTTTTGTGTGGCAGTAAGTGCGTTACTTCATCTCTCTGTGTCTTCATTTCTTCATCTATAAAATGAGGATATTAACAAAAGCATAGTGCTGAGACAGAATCATCATCCAAGAGCCTGGCTCATCATCAGCACACAATAGTGCTGTTATTTTCTTTATGAACCTTGAAACATTGCAGCTGAAAGGGACCTGGAGGCCATCAAGCCCAACTCCCTGTTTGCTGAAAAGGAAGCTGGTCCTGGAGGAAACAGGTCATTTGTCAAGATCATAGTCCAGAGGCGGGGAGACTCAGAACTCAGGAACGGCTGCTTGCTTCTGCTTTCCCTGTTCAGCCGGGGCCCGGCCACCCACCCCTACCTCCAGGGGCTTTCTTTGTGTGCTGGACTTGCAGATGTTTTTGCACTATTGCAATCTTTTTTGTTGTTTCTTGGTTGGTTTTTCAAGTTTACCCTTGCTTGTTTTAATGTATTATGGATAGCTTAGATGAGTAAGCCATGTTGTCTCATTGGATTAAGCGTTACGTTGTAGACAAAGCCAGCCTTGCCTTCTACACCCTCTGAGTACATGGCCCTTATCAGGCACATGACCAGGGACACCACTTCAAAAGCTGGATTCTGAGCCCAAATCTCCAGATGCAGCTGCTCAGAGCTCATGCCCTTTCTCAGACTTTCAGTCTCTGCTTATCCACCAAGACTCTCTTAAGATCAGTTTTTTTCCCAAATCATATGGTAAAGCCTTTGATCAGTTGGAGCTTGAACAATCTTTTAAAAAATCTGATATTAGCTGGGCACCATGGCCCAAGACTGTAATCCACATACTTTGGGAGGCTGAGGCAGGCAGATCACAAGGTCAGGAGTTGGAGACCAGTTTGGCCAACATGGTGAAACCCCATCTCTACTAAATATACAAAACTTAGCTGGGCGTGGTAGACACCTGTAATCACAGCTACTCGGGAGGCTGAGGCAGGAGAATCACTTGAACCCAGGAGGCAGAGGTTGTGGTGAACCGAGATAGCACTATTGCATTCCAGCCTGGGTGACAAGAGTGAGACTTTATCTCAAAAAGAAAAAAAAAATACAAAACTTAGCTGGGCTTGGTGGTGGGCACCTGTAGTCCCAACTACTCAGCAGGCTGAGGCAGGAGAATCAGTTGAACCCAGAAGGCAGAGAGTTGCAGTGAGCCAAGATCGCACCACTGCACACTCCAGCCTGGGTGACAGAGCGAGACTCTGTCTCAAAATCTGATATTGATAGTGATTTTTTTCTCATAGTTTACTTGTTGACTTTTGTTTTTATTTTTACTTTATATAGTAATTGTGCATATTCCATACCAGGCATAAAATACCAAGCATTGTATTTGTGTGTGTGTGTGTGTGTGTGTGTGTGTGTGTGTGTATGATGATATATCTAACAGATACGCTAAATTATAGATACAGCTATATGTAAAATTGTATTCAGTTCTCAAACCACTGTGACAAGCAGGCAGTATTCCTCTTTTACCAGTAAGAAAACAGGTTGAATATAACTTGCTGTGCATTGATGGATTATAGATATAAGAGGTACATGGACACTGCTCCGTCCCGTCAAAATCCCAGATGGCAGAGCTACTAATATTGATAGGTTGTAGGATTCAAGTTTCCTTTCTGCTAAGGAGCAAATGTAGAATGTTAGACTTATGCTCTGCGGATCTGCATATTTAGCAGCAGCTGTCAGCCCTTGGATAATTTTGTTTATACAAAATGCTTTCAAAGTTCACAGGTAATCTCTCTGCCCACCCCACCAGACACACACACAAGGCCTGATTTATTACCAGCCATGTTGTAAGATGGACTGCATCGGCAGATACCTCGGCAGCATTTCACCCTTGCTGTGTGTAGAGGCTTGGACGTGCCCACTCGTGGTGAGGAGAACTCTGGAGAAATGGGGACACAGCGAAGCCGTTAGGATGGATACTATTATTATCTTTCGGGTTGCATCGGCATTTCAGTAACAGTCACTGTGTTCTCTGGAGCTTCCTTTAAAGAACCTTAGGATCATTTCTTCACATGAGGAGAAATCAGGGTCCTGAGCCTGGACACTTAACCTTAGGATCATTTCTTCACATGAGGAATCAGGGTGCTGACCCCTGGGCACTTAAAGAACCTTAGGATCATTTCTTCACATTAGGAGGAATCAGGGTGCTGAGCCCTGGACATTGAAAGAACCTTAGGATCATTTCTTCACATGAGGAGGAACTAGGGTGCTGAGCCCTGGACACTGAAAGAAACTTAGGATCATTTCTTCACATGAGGAGGAATCAGGGTGCTGAGCCCTGGACACTGAAAGAACCTTAGGATCATTTCTTCACATGAGGAGTCAGGGTGCTGAGCCCTGGTCACTTGATGCCCCTGACAGTGCCCCCACAGTGGTGTCAATAGCAGACGACAGTGGCAGTCATTTAGAAATGGGCAGGAGCAGCCCTGGTTTCAGCCACCATCTGCTCATTTTGCACCCAGCAGCTGCTTACATGTCTCTGAAAGCACCAGAGTGAGGGCTTGTGTGCCTCCCAAGCAGCCCTCCTGAAGCAGCTGTTCTCAGTGTGGATCCTCCTGCCCCTGACCTGCAGGAGCCTTCTGGACCACCTGGCTTGTCCAGGCCCAGAGCTGGGAAGGGGAAGGAGGAGATGAAGGGACAGGGAGAACACACCAGGACTCCACACCTGTAACCACAGTCTGTTTGTTTGCCCTAGGAAAGGCTGCCTTTTCAGCAAAGGGGAATTTCTAGGACTGGCTGCCCCCTCCGAGCGTCTGCACCTTGGCTGTGTCTCCTCTTTGTTTGCCAGTTTCCTCCCACTGAGAGGATGGAGGTGTCCACACACCTTTGGGCCTCGTGAGGGATATGCCTCCTGCGTAAAGAGCTCTTGATCCTGATTCCATGCACAACCCTGCGATAAGGAGCCCAGAAGGGACATGTGTTTCCTGTTAAAACTGCTCTTGTCTTCTTTTCTTACCAGATTATGAAGTTTGTTTTCAAGGGGAGGGTTTAAAAATGGGATCCTGTAAGCAGACTTGCACAGTTTCCTTTTGAAATAGGTTGTCAGTACATGTTCTAATGTTTTGTAGCACATGTGTGCCTGTTTAAATGTGTTGATGTGGGTAATAATAAATAATTATTTAAATGATTCATTTTATTTCTGAGAAGTTGGGAAATTACCATTATACATTTACAACCTAATGACTTTTGTATTTTATTTTTCAAAATAAAAGCTTTCAATGTGAGGCATTCTGGTAGTTACATGCCTTCTTTAATGTGATTTGAGAAGCACAAGACCTTATCAGATGCTGCTGTGATGAACCACAGTTTCCTCGGTTGTTTGTATTGTATATAATCCCCTGGAGCTATCAGCTTATTTTTGGCTGGGAGGAGCGGGCAGTGGGTAGAGACAGGGTCTCATTACATTGCCCAGCCTGGACTCAAAAGATTCTTCTGCCTCAGCTTCCAAAAGTGCTAGGATTACAGGCGTCAGCCACAGTGCCTGGCCTGCATCATTATTTTTTTGTGAAGTTTTCTATAATTATTTCAGAGAGAACCTATCGCCATCCACTTTCAGAATCCTGTTCTATTTCATGCTTGAATATTGTGCTTAAGGACACAGAAGTTACTATTTCCACTCATTTTCTAGAAGTCATTGTTATGGAACACAGGATGTTCAGATGGTGGTAATAATTCCCATATTGTATGTTCTATGTGCCAGGCATGAAAAGGGTATTTAACATTGTATGTTCTATGTGCCAGGCATGAAAAGGGTATTTAACATGTTAGCTCATGTTAAATACCCTTTTCATGCCTGGCACATAGAACGTAACTTGTACCTATCCATATAGGCCATATCCATATCAGAAGTTGCAGTATTTTCTTCTCTATCACTCAAGCCAGACACTTAGCTAACAGTCGCACTTGCTTCCACCCTTTTCCTCCCTCTTTCCATCCACATCCAAGATCTTTGATTCTGCCTTCAGTGTATTTCTTGGATCACACAGTAGAATTAGAGTTTTTAGAGTGCACATCTGTAAGGATCCTCCCCACCTGAAGCATTTCGGTGTCTTCCATTTCACTTAGAAGAAAGCTCAGACTCCTGCCAGGGCCAGTAGGATCCTACTCTCCATCTCTTTGCAGGCCTTTCTTCCCACCCCACTGCTTGTGCTCTAGAAGTATTTCCAGAACATAGCAGGCTTTTCCTGTCCCTCCATATCTCATTCCTCTCTCTGGAATGTTCTTTCCTTTGGCTATTATTTATAGATGGATTCTCACTCTGTCACCCATATGGCATGCAGTAGCACGATCTCTGCTCACAGCAACCTCCACCTCCCAGGTTCAAGCAATGTTCTTCCCTTTGGCTATTTATTTATTCATTTATTTACTTATTTATAGATGAAGTCTCGCTCTGTCACCCAGCTGGCGTTCAGTAGCACGATCTTGGCTCACTACAAGCTCCACCTCTCAGGTTCAAGCAATTTTCCTGCCTCAGCCTCCTGAGTAGTTAGGATTACAGGCATGCACCACCACGCCTGGCTTTTTTTTGTATTTTTAGTAGAGATGGGGTTTCACCATGTTGGCGAGGCTGGTCTCAAACTCCCAACCTCAAATGATCTGCCTGCCTCAAACTCCCAAAGTGCTGGGATTATAGGCATGAGCCACCGTGCCTGCCCCTCTTTGCTCTGACTGATAGGCTCCTTCTTGATTCTCTGGTCTCAGTAAGTCTCACTCCCTCAAAGAGATTTTCCCTGGCCTCTTAAACTGAATGGTAACTCTCCTGCTGCCTGTCTTCTTCATGGTACTTAACCACACTTAGCACTGTTTCATCTGTTTGTTGCCTTTTTTATTATCTGACTCCTACCCCAGCCAGTAAGATCCTGGAGTACCAAGACTATATTTTTTCTTGCCTGTTGTACTTTTGACACCTAGCAAATTGTCTGGCACTTTTTAGAAACCAAGTAAAATATTTGGTGGATGACTGACTAATCCTCTGAAGAGGCTTTTGAAATCCACATCGTTTCACAGATCAGGAAACAGCCTCAGCGAGGTCAGGCCAAGGCAGAAGCCTGACTCTAACATTCTTTCCACTCCACTTCCCCAGCCCTGTCCCCTTCCATTTAAAATGAGTATGTCCAGCCTGGGCAACATAGAGAGACCCTGTCTCTACCAAAAAAAAAAAATATTTTAATTAGCCAGGCATGGTGGTATGCACCTGTAATCCCAGTTACTCAGGAGGCTGAGGCAAGAGAATCGTTTGAATCTTGAGTAGTGAAGGTCGCTGTGAGCCACGGTTGCGCCGCTGCACTCCAGCCTGGGCAACAGAGGTAGACTCTGTCTTAAAAAAAAAGAAAAAATAAATAAAATTAAATAAATACTGCTGTCAGATCAATGTTGTGTTTAACAGTTTTAAGTCACCCATTTTCTCCAAAGCATTTGATTCTCTAATGCTTAACATTACATCTAAATGTCTAAGCTGGCCAGGCGCGTTGGCTCACACCTATAATCCCAGCACTTCGGAAGGCCAAGGTGAGCGGATCACTTAAGATCAGGAGTTTGAGACCAGCCTGGCCATCATGGTGAAACTTCATCTCTACTGAAAATACAAAAATTAGCCAGGTGTGGAGACGCACGCCTGTAATCCCAGCGACTCGGGAGGTTGAGGCAGGAGAATCACTTGAACCTGGGAGGAGGAGATTACAGTGAACCGAGACAGTGCCACTGGCACTCCAGTCTGGTGACAGAGTGAGACTCCATCTCAAAAAAATAAAAAATAAATAAATGTCTTAGCTATCCTGCTGTCACAGCGTGGCCTTACTGCTCCCTCATATATGGTGCCTTTCTCCTGCCGCCTTTCATTCTCTTTGCTTTCTTCGTCTTCCAGATGCTCACACACCCATTCTCCTACCTGGGAAATCACAGCCTTATTAACAGCTCAGCTATCCTGAGTCATGTTTCCTCATGAAATCGAACTCAACTGCTGCAACCTCAAAATAGCAATTTAAATCAGCTTCAGCATAACCTGTTTTTTCCCCCTTGTTTCCTGTGTTAGTATTATGTCACCAACTTTGTGGGGATGAGATAGGTCATATACTCTTCTAGAGCATATCATAATGACTGAACATCTTTAGCTATAACCCACCTAGATCCCAATACTTACCCCCAAGGGAATATATGACTTTTATTCCCCGTTATGAAAAACAAACCCCTTCAAACCCAAAGAATGGACTCAGAGACCCAGAGAACAGCAAAAGTGAGACTTTTAATGATGGTCTTACAATATTGGGTGCCTGGCAGCAGACACACCCAGCACAGTTTCAACAAGCAGTTTATCCTCTAGTGCACAGGTCCCTCCCCTGGTTCCTCATAGGCTGAGTACTATGGGGTCACACTCTTCCTGGATGTCGCCTATTGGTTGTTGGGTAGGGGCTTTAGGTGTTTTGTTTAGGGTTGTCCTGCTGTGTTTTGTTGCAGCCCACAATGCATTGCAATCCTAGTCAGCTCAGGGGCTCTTCAAGTGTTTGACTTATGACCTAAGTAGCTGGGCAGGCTAATAAGAACAGAACAAAGTGAGCTATTTTGTAGGCTCATAAACTTTCATCTTAGACTAAACTTCTTTGGTTCAGGTGAGGGCAACTAAGGGGGTGGGGGGTGACACCCAGGCATTGGCTATCCAAGCAGGGGCCTAGTATAGCTTGTTTCTTTTTAGTTTGCTGACTTAAGCTGATTTAAGGCACTTTGTCTTGGAAATGGACCACTGTATACATTATTTCTTACACCCAGCTAATTTTTAATTTTTTTTGGTAGAGATGGGAGTCCAACTCTGTTGCCCAGGCTGGTCTTGAACTCTTGGCCTCAAGTGATCCTCCTGCCTCAGCCTCCCAAAGTGCTTGGATTATAGGTGTGAGCCACCTGTTCGGCCATATTTGTTTAAAAAAGAGAGTTTAGAGGACTCTTAACTAGGAGCTATTGTAGTAACCTGGGCCAGATGTTTATAGCTGGGTGGAAACAATGACCAAGATAAAAAGTAGGAAGACAGGAGAAAGGCTGGGAGGGGTGCAACCAACAGGACTTGCAAGTAAGCAGATCTGGTGGCAAAGGTCAGGGAAAACCAAAGACTCCCAGGTCTCCAGGTGGCTAGGCCAGATATGGTACATGGTAGTGCTCGCAGATAGAGGGGAAGCGCATTTCACCACACAGTCGGCCCACACACTCTGGCTGCAGAGGGCCAGGGACCACGTGTCTCCAGCTTGCTTGAATTTAGACAACTCAGTCTTGCTGCCTGTCTTCACAATTTCAAAATGAAGCTAAAATAAACCCGTCTCTGGCTTGTTTTATTTTATTTTATTTTATTTTCTAGAGACGGAGTTTCTCTCTATCGCCCAGTCTGGAATGTAGTGATGCAATCTTGGCTCACTGCAACCTCCAACCCCAGGTTCTAGTGATTCTCCTGTCTCCTGCCACCAAAATTAGCCTGGCTAATTTTTTTTTTTTTTTTTAGTAAAGAGATTTCACCTTGTTGGGCAGGCTGGTCTCGAACTCCTAACCTCAGGTGATCTACTGGCCTCAGCCTTCCAAAGTGTTAGGATTACAGGTGTGAGCCACTGGGCCCGGCCTGCAGTTTGTTGTAAGAATCCAGTAACATCACTATTTAACAGTTGGTGTAGATACTCAGAAGCAGTGGATGTGAACATTTAATGAATGTTATGCATAAACAAATTAGATCAAAGTAAGTGAATTCCATGAAGCTTGAGAAGGTCTTCTCTGGATATGCTACCTGGTAACCCCTTGGTCAGCAGTGTGCCCCTTGACAAGCATCATGGGGAGCAGGGACAGAGGAGGTGGGTGGGGAGCACGGAGACACAGGCACAGTGACACCCCCCCGCCTTGTCCCTGTCCCATCCACCCCTTTGTGTAATTTAATCATTTAACAAGGGGTTCCCATGTGTAAAATATTTGCTTCATTCAATCGCAGACACTTGATGTTCAAATTTACTGAGGAAGAAGCTATTCACATGTCATATAGGAATTTTTAAAAATCCCTTAATTAGCTGTATCATTGAAGTAAAACCTATTTAAGGTATTTAGTGTTTATCTAGGCAAGACTGGTTGGCTTCTTGGCTTTCTGTCCTCCCCATTTCTTCCTCCTTTCAAAGTGTGGATTTTATTTTCAAGGCTGGGAAAAGAGGTGTTCAAGGTGGGAGGTGAAGGCAGGAGGATCACTTTAGATCAAGAGTTTGACCAGCCTGG